CATACTCAACAGTTATTGGTTTCCACATGTCTTTGAAACATCTGTAACTTACTCAATTACTTAAAACCTTTACCATCCCAATTTTCATTTTTTCCCATCTCATTTGTTATTTAGAACATAATGAACAAAGGCCCAAGATTTTCCATACATAAGATTGTTCAAAACATCTACCTGGGTTTATATAAACACACACACTCTCTCTCTCTCTCTCTCTCTCTCTCTCTCTCTCTCTCTCTCTCTCACAGATACAAATTTGAAGTGTTAGTGGCTAGATTGCTTTCTTATACATTTTCTTGTAAGATATCCATATACTGAGTCTGAAAAAAAAAACAACAACAACTTTCTCTCTCTCTCTCTCCTATTATCTCACAGGTTCTATACCGTGGATTCTTTCATCTCTTAGACTTTATCCCATGGCCACCATCCTAGTGGATGTATTTATCACTTTAGGCATGAAATACAAAGCTGCTCATTGCTTCACTTTCCTCTTCCTCCCCTCCAATTTAACTACATTAACTATACAGCATTACCAAATTCACTATGTCATTCCTCTGTTTAAGAAATTCCACTGGCTTCCCAGTAACCACAGGGGGAAAAAATGTCCAAAAGACTCTGCCTAGTGATCTGGCTCCAGCCACCACGTAATCTTATTTACCTCCCACAAATTCCCAGCATGTTTCCATTTGGCTTGCTTTCGTGTTCCCTGGTTTTTCCCTTTAAAGGCTGTTCCTGTTGTTTTTCCCATTTGATTACTTTGCCCATTTTCTCTTGCCCCAAATCCTGTCATCCTTCAATGACCAGTCAGCCTAAACAATTACCTTAATTCAAGGTTTTTCTTCTCATTTCTGCACATAATGATCTCCTTTCTCCAATCATCTATAGTACAAATTGGTTTTATAGCTCATTTGGTTTTAACATATTGCTTTATTTTTAATACACTAGCCCTGCATACTAAGGCAAGGACTCCTCAACCCCTTTCAACTCTGTATTTTCTGTAGCTCTCTAGTGTAGTATATTTTGGCCCAGGAGCCTCATCAACCCCATTTATACAGAACTGGCAAAAAATACACGAACATCTTGTTCTAATTACAGACTTCCCATCAAGTCCCCTCTATGTTATATACTTTATGTTTTCTCTCAAGCTTTTGTCAACCTTTCACCTATTTTAACACATTTCCTGACCTTTGGTTTGTGAACAAACTCACCTCAACTTCTCAACTAGGGCTGACAACATAGTTCAGTGCATATGCACAAAGCTCTGGTTCAATCTTATACACACATACAACACACACACACACACACACACACACACTCACACACTTAGGGCCCACATGGAGGCATCACAGACATTTCTAAACTCTTCTTCCATTTTCCTTTACCTCCCTGACCTAAGTAAAATTTAGCTCTTCCTTAAACCAAGTACATTCCTTGGTACCATATGCCAGGGAGAATCTATTTATTCCTGTTTGCCCAATAAAATGTTGAAGTAAACAGTCAAATCTGTCATCACTTGACATATTTCTGCCTTTCCTTTGTTCATTTTCTCCTTGTCCATTCATCACTTTTTAAAAAAACATCTTTATTACATCAGCAACTAATGCTTAATAGAGTATTGTTCACCTCTGTCAATTTTAGTGAACTTCACAGGTCAATCACCTGCCCTTTATTCACACACTTAACTATTTCAATAGCCTACGCCCACCCTCACCTCCTATCCCATGACAGGGATAGAATTCAGGCCCTCATGCATGATCAGCAAGTGTTCTTCCACTGAGCTAAATCTCCAGCCCTCAAGTTCTTTAATCTCTTTGACTCTATGGACCTGAGTTTTCTTTCCACCACAGCAAAGCCAATTCTCAAATACTAACAGTCCTCTGAAGGCTTTATCTTGAGCTTATTGAGCAACTCTAATTAGAAGCACTTATACTACAGTGTCTTCACTCATTTAATCCATGCCTTTCGCTAGTTCTTTTCAAATGTTTCCATTTGAACTAAGACTTGGGAAGGGAACTAGGAATTGTTGTTTAAAAACGAAACAAAACAAAAAGATTCCTAGGCCTTGTCCATGAAGCTTCTGGCCAGTACATAGAGTATCAATTTTCAATCATAGCTATAGCAAGGAATTAAAAAAAAAAATAAGATAACCAAGTTCCATTCCCAGAAATTCTGTAAAGAATCTGCTTGGATGTGTGCTTGGATAATGATGGCGTTCAAAGTTTCCCAGGTGATTCCACTGTGTATCAAAAGTTGAAAATTGGCATATTATGGTGAGATGTGAGAAACAAGACCTTAATATGCCACAAAAGTAACTGAGGTCAGTCAAGTTGAGACTATTGTGTTAAGTGCCCGCAGGTTAGAATGCACTTCCTTCACACAAATGTGGTTTTAGGATCTATTACTTGTGGGCTCCCTTTCCAGCATTCTATCACCCTAGCATCATTCCTTAATCCTTTACAATACAGGATAAAACCCCTTAAACTTTCATTTCTGTCACTCTGAACTGTTTCTAGTCTCACTAACATGACATACTGAAATTCTTTCTCGGAAAAGCCACAGTTATAGGACCACTTGAACTGAGTCAACTTAGAGACATAAAGCTGTTAACCTCAGAGTAGAAATAATTACTTATGTGGCACAAAGAAAGTTATTGAGGGCAATTAGGTTTTTAAGTCCCCAGCAGCTCTATTTAATTCAGGAAAAGGCAGAAAAACAAGGGAACAGGCCACAATCTGTCTTTCCCAGTATGCTCTACACTGTCAGGACTCCATGGCACACACATGCACACTTACAGACACACACAACACATACACACATTCCACGCTTACCTCACACACATGCCAAGACCTCCCCCCATCACTTGTAAACTCAGCCGCCATTCCAGTTTTCATGGCTTGCTTGCCTTTTGAAGAAGGATGTATTTTCTTGACTTGCTTTTTCACTGTAAGAATTCCAGCTCTGAAAAATCTCTTTGGCAAACACGTATAAATTTTGCTTTTTATAAACTAACATTTTTTAAAAATGGTACCAATACTTAAAGACCTTATAAGTTACAAAATACTGGCTTTAGAATCTCAAATTTTTCCATAGATCTTTATCCTTGTCTATTCCAACATGACTTTTCAAAGTTTAGTTATGATTTTTTAAAAAGTTTGTCTCTATTCTTTTCAACCAGTAGTACAATTTTTAATTTATTTACAATTTCTGATAGAATTTTTGGCGCGGCTAACAAGATAGAAATATGAAATAAAAGTGGCCTTTATTTTACGAATGTGGAGAGAGACTCCATGACCTCGGGAGTCTGGCTTTCTCTCTGATGGACACTTGGTGTGGGGGGCATACAAGTCGCTTAGGTTTGGGGTGGAGGCTAAGAGGCATTAGTGATGCACAGGTAGCCCATTGGAATTTATTTCTAGCCAAAGGTAAATTGCCTGGGGGCAGGGAAGGTGACCTCAAGGTAGAGCCCCTTGGTTCGGCCTCCCAGCCTCCCACTGCTGCAGCTTCCCATTCAGGGCAAAATCCTTTCAATTTCAATCTCCTATAAATTCTTAAAACACAAATGTCTTCTTGATTCATTTGGTGGCAAAAACACGAAACTGACCTGAACAGATATGAAGCTACTAACAGTCTGAGTTTATGTAGTGTGGATGCATACACATTTTTCTGCTCAATTATAGGTAACTGCCCATGGCCTCATGGTGGATATTATACATGGAATAGGTACTGAATTAACATTTCAAAAAATCTAAAAATCTTGAAATACCAAAGCCCTACAGATTTTAGCTAAAAAACATTAGACCTGCCTCCACATCCTTATCAAATTCTGAAAAATAGCATTCCAAATCTTCGATTTTAGTTACACTGAGATAAACAGGTTTTTGAGAAGGTGCTTGCTTCAGAAACTAAACTCATTTATGTAATTGTTTCTATAAGCATACTTATTTATTGTTTTAAACCACCTGAGAAATACTCTGTGAGTTATTTAAAATAAAGAGATTGCTTTCACAATGTCTAGTTACGCAGCTCTGAGACATTCTTGAAAAAATCTACCAAATAAGACATTGTCCCAATACTAACACTTTAAACAGTGAGCTATTTTAGTAAATTTTTAGTCATTTAAAAGGTTTTAAGAAACTAATTACAAGTAGAAATTAAAAAACGGTAACGTTCACTAAACTTTTACTATTTTGTCATGCACGGCTACATGACAAGTCATAATCTTTAAATATATCAAAGCAAAATTTCAAAAAGGATTTAAATACTATGTCAAACAGCAATTTCAAAATCAGAAGTTAATTTTGTATTGAAAGTAACCAGTCACAATGCCCAGTACAAATAGGAAAAGGGGAGAGAAGGGCTGTCCCATGACATCATCTCTCAATATGCAGTTTTAAGGCTAACAGAAATCTCCAAATAACCCTTCCAAAAATCTAGCCGGAAAATCATCCCTGACAAGCTGGGATAATTTGGGTTTAAATAAAAGGTTCAAAGCAGCCCCCCAAACGCGTTACATTTATATTAAATGAGAAAGCCATCACGGATGCGTCTACCTCCCACTACCGTAATAGCAACCGAAAGGTCACAATTAAGTGGAAACTCGTTGCAAAGCCTGTTCAATCTGGACGAGGGTAGGGAAAGAACAGCAAAGAAAGGAGCGAAATCCTCGCGCCTCCAAGCAGGCTCCAGGGACAACCCTCTCCAGCTTGCCTGACCTCGGTGCTCATCCAGCAGGTAACACAGACTCCAAGATACAGGTCATTATTCCGTTAGAAGAAAGCGAGGGGCCCATGGCCAGAAAAACCACCAAAAACGTCCAGCGGAACCAGCACCCCAGCGTCTCCGGCATTGCAAAGGTGCAGCCTGTGAAGGGCTCAGGGCCGTCCGCGAAGCACAATTCTCTCGTTTCAGCTCGAGCATGGAGCTCGGGGCACCGCCTGGCGCAACACCCGGCTCCCTCCCGACCCCGCCGTCGCCGTCGGGGCGCCCGCGCGGCCCGTGCTTACCGCGGTCGCGCCGGCGGCGGCGGACACGATGGGCGGCAGCTTCTCGCGCTCCAGCTCCTTCGCTTTCTTCTCTTCAGCGGCAGCCGCCGCCACCGCCGGCGGCGCGGCAGGCGCGGGCTCCCGAGCCGCCTCACTCATGTCGAGCCGGGCGACGAGAGCGCGGGGCGGCGGCGGCGGCGGCGGCGGCGGCGGCGGCGGCGGCGGCGGCGGCGGGGCAGGCGGCCGGACTGAGGCTGGAGCCGGGGCTGCTGCCGCTGCGGCCGCGAGAGGGCTCTGCAGCCTCGGCGCGGCCGCGTCCGAGCGCCGTCGCGGCTCCACCTCCGCCCGCCCCGCTCGCCCCGCCCCCCCGCCCCCGCGCGCGACCCGCGGCGTCGGCGGCGCGCAGGCCCGGAGGTCGTGGGCCCGGGGTACCCGCGTACGAGGGCGGAGGGTCCTCCGCGGGCAGCGGGCGCGGGCTGCGGCCTCCCGTCAGCCTCTAGGCCCCCGCGGGGGGCCTCCGCGGACGCCGCGCGGTCGCCATGTTGTTCGCAGACTCGCCTGAATGACGAGGAGACGCGGCTCCGGGCCGCGCGGGAGGGCCCGATCCGGGGTCGGACGGGGACGCCGCGCGCCTCAGTGACGCCCGGGGGCGGGCGGGCGCTGGTGGCTGCCCCTCGCCGGCTCCGGGCCGACTCCCCGAGCGCTGGAGCGGCGTCTAGCGGCCCGGCCTTTCCTCTCCAGCGCGGACGCCGCCGTCCTCTAGGAGCTGCCGCTCTGATCCCGACCCTGCCCGCCCCCTCCCGGGAGAGGCGGCCGCGAGCCCGCGCGGCCTCGGAGAGCTGGTCTGCCTTAGCACCGACGCTCTCTGCGCGCAGTGGACGGCTCAGCCTGGCCAGAGAGCCGGGACGGAGAGGGGCGTGTGGCTTTGTGCCCCCACACACACGTTAGATCGCGGCCGCCAGGTCACTCCTCCCTGTGTTCCTCATGTCCCCTTCCTGATGCCAAGTCCGCCTCTCCCTTCAGTCCCCACGCGCTTGCATTCCGCTCTCCCCCATCCCTGGGCTGCCGCCTAGCCCTTGTTCTTTTCCGTTTATAAATTACAGATGGACTACGCAAACTGCCGCATAATCCCTACTAGATCATTATAAAATATGGGTAAGAAGTTAAAACGGAAGAGGAGAGTTTTTAATCATGATATTAAAATATCCCCCACCTCCACCACTAAAATACGTAGACAAATTCCTTTCCTTTTCAACGCCTCCTCCTTTTTTTCTCAGTCTGCTGGAGGAGCTGAGACACCTGCTGATCCAAGGGAAAGACAGTAAGAATGCACTGTGGGCGATGAAAGACAAAGCGTGTTAATTCTGGACTTACAGGCTGGGCTAAACTACTTAAGGTTGAGTGAAGTTTTTGATAAGGATACTCAGAACCAGATACAAGAACCAAAAATATTTCTCAACCCCAAAGATGATTTTGGGGCTTATGTGTTGTTTTATATAATTCAGTTATTGTGATAACTAAGTATTTGTTACAGTGCAATGTGAGATAAGATTATATGCTTTTCAAACTCACAGTTCCCAGCAAGCAGATCAGAAGCAAGCAAAATAATATATATCAGTAATCAGTATTATCTTCAAAATGATAAATTTTGACTTTCACTTATGGAAAGGGTCTAATATATTTGTTGTCACCATCTGTTTCCCTTTTATTTATCAAATGGAATACAGTAAATGGGATATAATCAGCAAAAAGTATTTCAGTACCAATTAACTGGAGGAAAAGGATGTACATGGTAATATTTTGGGGCTACCTCCTCGTTTTGTTTTCTCTTGAACTCTTTTCTGAATTTTCCTTCTTAAACCTCTGGAATACACATGCAATAAAGGGGAACACCATTACTTTTTACTTTTAGAAGGTCAGCATCCATTGGTTAACAAAATAAAACTCAAGCGAAGGCTTTAAGTACAGTTCAAGTTATTCTGTTCTGGCAAATCTGCGTTGATAGAACAAATACTGGGGGGAAATATTCCCGTTCCTCTCATTTTCAAGTTGATTTAGTAATATGCTATAAAAATACTTGGATCAGAAACCACTTGGATTACATGCCTTCTGCTTTCACTTTTCATGTGTGAGACTAAATAAAATTGTCTGTACAAGTAGTCACATTCAATAGAACAAAATGCCTAAATATTGACAAAACAAGGCAAGTCAGAAATGTTCATTTCTGCTGGTGCACCAGAGCAGATAATGCATTTCTAAACAGATCCGCTGATTAATTCGTCTCAGTTATATATCAAAAATAAGTAGTTTATCGACGTTTGCTCTCAGCTTACCACCTTATCACTCATTGTACAGGAAGGGGGCTGAAGGGTGGATATGGCTTCTGGAAATCTGTGGACTGGTAGTCTGAGGGAGCTTGTGAGCTTGGGAGACACATTTGCAACTACCACTCATGTGCTTCTAAGAGCCGGGAAGGAGAATAGGTGATTGTGGAGCAGGACTGGCTTTTCTATAGAGTTGTGGAGAAGATGCTTTTTAGCTATGCCAAGTATAGCATCCAAGTATAAACCCATTAACCTTAGGAAAAGTAGGAATTAGGCAGGAGAAGCACTCCCTCAGAGGACAGAAAAAAAAACAAAAACAAAAACCAACCAAACCTGAGCCCATTAATTAATCAGGTTCCCCATGTGGATTTAGGAAGATGACGTACTTGAGCATAGGAGTTTGGGAGTTAAATGGGGGTCAGGAAGCTTTTTTTTTTTTTTCCAACAGAAGAAAATGAATTAAATACAGCTAACTTTAAATACATGCAGTAACACTAATGTAGTGAACAATAACAAAGTAGATTCTAACAATTTAATAATTGTAACTACTATGTTAAGTACAGTTATAAAATAGTCCAACTGATTTTTAAAACATATTTTTTCACATTTCAGTTGTTACCTTAAAGTAGTAAACAAGGAAATACACTTATTTTAACCATATTGACATTGTTACGTTACTCCCTTAGGTGTAATGATTGTGACTTTGAAATTCCTATTTTAAAAACAATATTTTAAAAGACCTTACCATGTGAGTTGTAGAAAAAAATTGAACATACAGTTTAGCAAAATGATCCTACCCAACTTTCTGTTGTTACTGAGACCTTAGTCCGTGTCTTTATAAAGTCTCCCATAACTTTATACATATACCTACTCACATAATGTGTCTTGCTTTGCTTTTTAAATAGAAACAGAACATACTGAAACAGTGTGTTGAATCTGAGTGATTTATAATTTAGACCATTCACAGTGAAATATATGTTTATTTTTAAAGGATAATTTTTTAAAAATTGCACAAGGTTATATAAAGCTAAGACTAAAGAATAAAGTGGGTGACATTTTTACTCGGACATCTCTTCAGTTTTCTCCCTATGTGGATTCCCATTGTCATTCTCCTCGGTGCCCTTGCTGTATCTAACCCAGGTCATTTACACATGCTGTCTTGCTCTCAGTTTCTTCCTACACTAATTCCACTAGAATGACCTATTCAAAATATGTGATTTTACATCCTTTGTTTAAAAATATATCAGTAGTCTTTCAGAGACATTATAATAAAAATCCAAACTCGCCATTAGAGCGTTCACCCAAATTCATTGCAAAGAAGGCTTTTTATGTCCTAATGTTATTTTCTTTCTGCTGTCAGAACATGTTGTACATGTATTTTTATATACCTATACACTGCATCGGACTTGTTTCCCTAATACGTCATGGCATAGAGGGGAAGGACCATAACTTATCCCTAAGTCCCTATTGATGGCACACTGCGTAAAGTGTGCTATTGAGGGCACTGGGAGTGTGCTATTGAGGAGGCCTGCAACAAGTTCATAATAAGTGAAACAAGGTATTTTGTTGCATAATCTTATTTGTAAAGAGACTCTAAAGCTATTTCCAAAGAAGAATTAGAAGATATTCTAAATGACGACCCACACTGAGATTACTAAGTTCTAGTTTGCTTCTTGAAAACCTTAATTTTATTGAACAGTGTTACTATGGCAGTTAGGGTGGAGTTTCAACTTGACTAGCGTTGAGACCAACGCTGGGTGTTGGTGGAGCATACATCCAGGTACCTATGGATGGGTCATGGAGGCAGGGCCTTGAGGTCTCTGACATGTCTGCACCCTTTGCTTTGGCACTCTACCCCCACTTTTCTTCTTGGCACCATGAAATAGGCAGTTTTGCTCTGCGGCACCTTTTTATCGTGTTTCTGCCTTGGACCCATTGATTGTAGACAGAAATTGTGAGCAAATTAAACCTCTCTTCCTTTAAGATGTGGATATTGCTAATACAGAACCAAGAGAGCTTTTTTAATGGCAAAATGTTCTATATCTCTTCTACATCATAGAATAGCCATTAACTTTTAGCACTTGAAACATCATTATTGTGACCATAAAAATGAATTTTTAAAAATAGTAACCTTTTCATTTCTCAACTTTAATTTATATTTGAATAGCCATAGAGACTGGTAGCCACCAATGGACAGTGTAGCTCTAAAGTTGCCTTTCAACTATAAAAGAGCACCTCCTAATTAATGGTCTTCACTCTATTAAACGTATTCTTCATAATATATATATATATATATATATATATATATATATATATATATATACCAGCCTTCATTGAAGTAACAGGGGGAGGCCTAAAAGAGGTGTGATAGCCTAAAAGCCTAAATTATTTCACACACACACACACACACACGTGTATATATACATATACATATATATATACACACACACATATATATCACATATGTACAAATATATGTTCATGTGTATTATAAACACACACATATATCTCAATAGAAGCAATGTATGCTATTTCTACAGAAATCTGAATTTCTGTTTTTGAGAAGTGCTAAATATTCTTTGCTTGGTATTATACATAGACCACACTAAAATACCTTTCAGAAAGAAAAGGTGGCATGTTTAAATACAGGGAATTCTAATTAAATTGGCACAGTCAAGACCAAAATCAGACATTGCCTCCTTATTTTTAATCATTGCGATTAAAAACAGGCTAATAAACACAAATTTAAACAGGTGATTCTTGTTTGGTTCTGAGTCAAAGGATTTCATTGGTATTGAGACATATTTGCATAACCAATTTATATGTCTAAATATAAACCAATCTTCAATAAGTTTTGAGATGACATTATCTTTGTGAAAAGTCAAAT